ATGTTATCATTCAGATCACGAATATGCAATGATATCTTAAGAAAAATTTATTTGGTGAAAGCTTCTCAAGGGTTAATGAGGTTTTTTTGCTAGTCATGGCCTGTTCCTGGCTACTGTTATCCCAGGAGTCATGTTAGCAGCATAGGGCAGAAATTCTAGGATGAATACTCAGTTTATCTTTACTGAGTGATATTCGCCAGGTGTGTCCCACTGATTTCTGAATATCTGTATATATTCTTTATATCTCACAGGTGAATCTTCTCCATTTTCCACCTAGTTAACTTGAGAACGAATATGTTTTATATCTGCCTTCCAGTAGTGTGAACTGTATGAACAAGTCTCTGCAATACCACTTCAATCATTATTTGATTATGTACTACAATTTTAATTTCTTCCTGTTTATTTCCTCTATGTCCTGTGAAGTTTAGGGACATCTATGTGTTCAGAAGATTGACCACTGTTTTCTTTGTTCTCCTTCCAGCAATCATATTATTTATCTCAGAGCCTTCTCCCGTTTTTTTGGCATTTCTCCGTGTCACTGCACATTTACATGTGGAGCTATGATGCCACCTCCCTGCTGATCCTTGTTTAAAACATCTCTCCTGAATAATTCTTCCTTGTACAAGATGGATCCACCTCGGTTCAGTTGTCCTCTGTGCCAGAACACCACCTTGTGGAAAAGGAAAGCAGAGCTTCGTCTTTCCTTGGTTAGAAAGATTGAAAAGACCTGAACCTCCAGATTCTTCTCCCTTACTTTTGAGTCTTTTCAATTATTTTTGAGCAGCTCTGGGTAATATTTACCAGTGCTATTAGTATGAATGAGCTGCATGAAATAAAAATCAGAAGGCTGGAGGAACCTTAGCACCTTTACTAGAAGTAGTGAAGCAGTGACAGAGCTTAAAAGAGTGTATTTGTTTAATTTGATTACATTTATGGTTATGTTAAGAAGATTATACTGCTCTAATTAAGGGTTACTAGGACTTTCTATAACAAACTTGAATTTTCAGCTATTTATAGCTCAGGGAAAGTGTTTCCATACAGAAATTTGGCATTCAGTGTCTCAGGCTGAATGGTATGGTTTTCCTTTTTCTAATTTTTTAAAAAAGACTCTTTGGCTGCATTCTATTTTGAGGGAGGCAGTTTTTTGTCGTTTTATATGCTTTTTGTTCTCCCTTGGCAAGGCCTGATAGGTCGAAAAAACAAATTTTCCAGGCTCTTAGTCTTTTATGTCAACTATTTCCTTTTTGATATTTCAAACATTGTACTTTCGTTGTCATTACTTTTTAACAGAGCCACTATGTAATTCAATAAGCAGTCACCTCTAAGTATCTACCATAACTACTTTTTATACTTTGTTACATAAAAATACTTCATATAATACAATCTGGTAAATATTTTTTTCTGAAACAAATGTATTTACCTGACATGTTTAGTGTGTAATGTAAGCAACTTGTGTATTTCTGTAAGGTTCATCTTTTTTGGATTCTCTTAAAATATAAAAACTATGTTTCATTTTTCTGTTTATTTCTATTTCTATTTTCTGTTTATTATCTGTAGACAATTCAGTGCCATAATTGAAGGTGTCAAACTTCTCTAAGTTTGTCTCATTGTTGGTTCCGAAAATCCTTCCTTTTACCTAAGGCGATGGTGCACATTTGGAATCCTTCAGTTAGAGTTCGAGGAACTAAATCTCTCAATTCATGAAGCCTGAGTCCTGGTTAAGGTCTAATGCCATCCAGATAGTAAATAGCGAAGTGTTTAAACTCTGCGTAAGTTCTTAAAGACTTTAGTCTGTTCTGTGGATTTGAAGCTTGCCTAGAGAATGCAGATGGCATTGAGCCTGGCACAGAATGTGACTGGTGGCTCAGGTGACTTCTTTAACTGTGTTTCAAGTGATGTCCAAATATTCTGCAAGTGTAATACTAATCAGAAAACTTCCGAAGAAAGCAGGGAGTCTCTTTTTTTTTTTCCCGACAACATTGTCAAAACCGTATCTCCAGCGTCTTGGAAAACTGTCCTAACGGCTAATTACTGCGTATTCATTCATAGGAAGGCGAGATTAAGGTGAAGTAGTACTCCCTTATTCCTCTGATTCAACTTGGGCCACAGAATAGCAAAGTGCTAGAGTTATCTTAGCAGAAGATGATACGTGTAGTCTTATAGTCTCTAATTTGTTTCTGAGTTTTATCCAGTGATTATGCACTGTAAAATGTGTAAATAATACACAGGGGCCTGAACCTAAGTATTCTGTATCCCTTTTACTTGCTTGTTATCTGAGCTTCAGCAATACAGCACCAGAGAAATTATTGGTTATGTTGGGGAGAAGGATGTTCAGAACAGAATTTGTGAGAAGAGCAAGAAACTGAGGAGGAAATAAGAGATAATGTTGAAAGCGGATTTATTACACCAAAGAGACATTGCTGGTGAAATTCCTCAGGTCTTTTTTAAAAACATGTTTCTTCTATAGCACTAACTCAAATTTTTTGAGATAATACATGTTTGTGTTCAAATAAGGTAATCATGTTAGTCCAAATGTTTTCACCAGAAAATATCAAGGTGGTGAGATCTGCTGATGGCAGAAAGACAGGAGATATTATCAGTACCACACTGGATGCCACACAGGAGGAACTGGGTGACCTTGGAGACAGGAGCAATCAATGTACTGTAGGTGAAACTAGATGAAATTCAATGCAAAGCAAGACTCTTCTGGACTCAGAGCCAAGATGTTTACTCCAAGCTGTTAGTTCATCAGCTCGAAGAGTGTAAGGATTTGTATCTGGTACTGCCTTGAGTTTCCACTATGTGGCCTTTATGAAAGTCATCCCATTCAGGGTTCTCGGTGTCATATTCAAGAATGGTGAATTCAGGTTGGGACTAACTAGTGGGCAGGAAGGCTATAGAGAAAATCAGGGGGTGAGAGACCTGGACTATGACTCAAAGAGATTGTGTGCCTGTAATATCACAGATGGAGAATAAAAATCAATATTTAAATGCCTTTCTGCAGTGTCCCTTCCAAACTTCTGTCCCCTACGAAATCCAAGGGCTGCAGACATCCCCTGAACGCCTGTGTGAATGGCTACTGCACGTGCTGTAGCTCGGTGAGCTGTTCTGTAAGGACAGGTACAGCTCTTTGATTTCAGCAAAAGTTTTACCACAGTAGGAACTGAATAGGATTTAAAGGATTTGACCTAGAAATTGAACATTTTTGCCACCAAAGTTTTACGGACATTTTTCATGCGCTTAATTAAGCTTTGGATCACAGATTCTATTTTAGCTCATTTTTTCTTTTTTCCCATCACAGCTTTACTCATAGCACAGCTGTGGCATTTGTCTTGTAACTAGAAGAATCTGATAATCATGAAATAACCCAGATTTATGCCTGTAGTGCTGAAGCGGTGCCATATTTATGAAAATAACTTGAAAAAAGAGAAACAATATGCAGCAGATGTGAAGGTTTTACCTTCACATTGAAGTAGGTTTATACTGTCAGCGAGTGTGGGCTTAGCACAGCCTGACAGAGTTTTAACTTACCAGATGTTCCACGTGATCAAATAGATACTATACAGCTGTTTCCCATTCTTTTTACTGAGCTCAAACAAATACACAGTAAATGCTCTGAAATATGTTTATTGTGTTTTGGCTAGCGCTGCAGAGAACTTACTTTTATCCATGGGCACTGAGAATGTGGGGAGAAACCAAAGGTACTGTAGGAATGCTCATTTTCCATTACCGTGAGGAGAAATTAGCAGCTGTTTGGTTGAAACAACCCTGATGGTAACTAGCCAGGGAAGGATGAAAAACAGCTTTTTCATCTGGTTGTGGATGATGTGAGATTAGTGGCCAAAGTGACTTCTGGTCTCTGAGTGAGCTGCAACTCCCACGGGCGGGAGCTGTACCCGTGGGCTTTCCAGTGGCGTTGAACTCTCAGGGAAGGTGGTCGGTGCAGTGGGAGCAGCCATCCCACAGGTAGCTCGTGTTCATCCCAGCATGGGCTTTCACCACTGGAATGGAGGCACCGGGATGGATTTTGTATTCGGTGCAATACAGAAAACAGGGCGTCTTCAGAGGTCCTGGTGAGGCTGCCTGCATCCCTCCTGCCTGCTCCTCTGCCTGCTCCTCTGGGTGCAGGCAGTGTGCCCCAAGTTGGCCATTTGATGTGTTTTTAAAGACAAACAGCTTTTGGCGATCATTCTAAGCAACTGCTCTGAACTGTTTCAGGACTTAAAGGCCCAGGTTACGTTAACTGCCATGCTTGTCAACTTGATTCAATAACAGAGCAGCTAAATAATAAAAAAGGAAGTTCAATTTCCTTCACCTGCTTTTCTGCTCTTGTTTCTCATTCCTTCCCCTCCAACTCCCCGTGCTCTCCTTAGCCCTTTGACCTTACTGCTGCCTTCCTTCGCTCCTGTGACCGTCAGCCTCCTGCCTTTCCAGAGCTGCTCTTGCACTTGGATAATTATTCTTCTTGTCTATCAGGGGCCTTCCTTGTTCTCCTTTAAACCCTTCTTTAAAACCTTCATCTTCAAGCAAAGGGATCTTTCATTAATAATCTCTTCAACATTTATTGACTGTTCTGTTCTTTTCAGATTTATAGCCTAGTCTTGCAAACGTTTACAGAGAAGTAACTGTTCAGTTAAATTGAGAACATTCAGTTAGAAGTTTGGAGGACTGGCATGTTTGTTGGGATACTTTTTGAAATGGGAATATTTCTCACTCTGTAAAACACAATGTTCATTTATGGTTTTATGTACATTTTTATACTAAACATTTGTGGCCTCAGAAAAGCAGTGGAGCATGCATGCGGATAACTTCTGCTTTTAACTTTTATTCCCTAACTCAAGGTGTGGAACGTGTTGCACAGATTTTTAAAGGCCATGAGCAAACTTGATGTTGACAATATGGCTTTATACCCAAAATCATATGAGAGGACAAGTACAAGCTGTACCTTTGATCTCAGTAACCTTCATTGTTTTGTGTTTCAGTATTGATTTTTATTTCAGGAATCTCAAGCATGTGAACTGCCTAAGTACATAAAGATTGTAGAAGTTGGGCCAAGGGATGGATTACAAAATGAAAAGGTAATTTTTATCTTTTTTTTTTTGTTTTTGGTGTGTTTTGACATGGATATCAGTGTTATTTTCATTGTGTAAAACAGGTACATCCTGCTAATCATGTTCCTTCCATTCTGTACTATAAATATATTTATTTCTTTTTATATTAATAACTGTTTTGTATATTAGAATAAAAGTATGTTACTATTTAGCCAGATGTTAAATCACATAATTTCTTTCTATACTTGGTTAACTAGCCTTTCTGTTACTCAACTCCCATTTCTTTTTCTGGAATTTGTCCTGGCAGTCAATAACATTCTGTCATGACGTAATTGGTAAATGCCATGAAACGCTGGCTATCTTCATAATATGTGTTTCTGCTATAACTGCTACCATAGTAGGAATAGTACAATAGGTTTTGTCATGCTTTTTTTTATGGGAAAATAGAAATTACTCTTTTGGTAATATTATTTGCCTGAAGGGTGGTAGGGAAGCATGGAAGAAGATGAAAAGAGACTATGTAAAATAGGATACATGTATCAAAACAGTCATCTGTTTCCACAGACCAGGAGGGTAAGCTTACATGTATTATTGTTACTGATATCAAAGATGTTGATAGGATTAACAGAATGGAATTAGTAGTATTAGTACTGATATCAAAGTACTGTACAAAGTATTAGTACTGATACCAAAGATGTTAGTAGTATTAGCAGACTGGAACTAAAAAAAAAGTATTGATTATGTACTGAGAACATTTCATTTACAAAAGTTTCTTACCACGTGAAATACTTTACTATAGAATGTCTCCATGTCCATAGGTGATAGTCCCAACTGATATCAAAATTGAGTTAATCAACCGGCTTTCCAAAACAGGCCTGCCTGCAATAGAAGTGACCAGTTTTGTTTCATCCAAATGGGTGCCTCAGGTATGTAAAATCATCACCATTCAGAACTATTTCAATTTAAATGCCATTCCATGTAGTGGAGTTTTCCAGTAGTATAGCCTGTATAATTATACAATAAAATGGAACAGAAATAATGTTGCTTATCTGTGAAATCAGATGCTGTGGTCAGACACCATTTATGCAGTTTTCAAGTTTTATGCTTTTATTTAGGTCAGCTGAAGTTGGGCTAATTATGAAAAAGTAGTCAAAATTTAAGAAAAGCTAGTAAGCTGGGCAGAAAGCTAGTTAAATCCCTAACTCATCAGCAGCAAGAGCGAGAAGGGAAACTGGAAGCCAAGCATGATAATAAGGGGAGCAGAGGTTGTAGGCTTGTTGACCAAAGTGTAGTCCAACAGTCCGTGAGAGCAGAGCAAGTATGGTGAGGGTAACCAGGGCAGCCAAGAGTACACATACTCAGGTGAGGCTGCAGTAATGCAGCAGGTCCCAGGTTAAGCCGAAAAGTTAAATCTGGGAGACATAGTCAGGATCAATCAGGACGGTACATGGCCAAACACGGGCTTGGCTGCTGCTGTGCAGCTGCACTGTTTCTCAGGCAGGGAGGATGCATGAGAGTGTCTCAGCTGAAAAGTTGCTGTAAAGCAATTTTTGCTGTGAAGTTGAGTGAAAAGGGAGGGTAGGCCACGTTAAGACTTTGTAACAGAGCTGTTCGGGGGAGCCTTTGCTGATCTGCTTTCCAGCTTTTGTTGATGAGCTCCAAGGCTGATCAAGGGTTCTCAAGTTGCTGTCTTGTTATCAATGAGCTGACCTTGAGTGCAGGCAGCTAAGCTCTTAGGAAGGGAGCACTCCAGGCCCTGGTCAACAGAAATGCGAGGAGTACAATTTGCCATGATTACTGCATAGGGTGTGAGAAATCTTAAATGTTGTCATTGCTCTCCAAACATAAATAATTTATCAGGTGATTCCCAATTTGCCTCTTGCAGCACAAGGGTAGGAGTTTGTATGTGTGTGTACGTGCAAGAGACAGCTTTAAATGGGGAGTGAGAGAAGTAGTCACAGAATGCTGGATGGGGATAAGAGGTTTGGGGATGAGGGATCAGCACCATGAGTAAAGAGCAACTGAGATATAGGATGCTGAGTGTAGACATAAAGATTTGAAAATATGAAGCAGTCGGGATGCAGAGTACTGAGTTTGAGTATGCAGACAAACAGCAGTGGGGCTGATCTCTGGGGAACAGTCATGGTGGACGGGACTTCTTGTGGAAACAACGCCAATTCAGAGTCTGAGAATCAGGGCAGGAAAACCCAGATGTACAGGGCTTGTGCAAACTGAGTAAACTTCTCAGGAGTGCTCCCTAGCACCAAACCAGTGGAGTAGGCTCTCCAGGCCTAAGGGTTGTGTGGACTGTCATGGAAACTTGACTCTTACCTGAAGCCAAACACTATTTTTTAAGTTTTGCTGCACTTGGTACACTTCTATGTATCTGTCCACCATGCAGTCCTCCTTTTCCAAACACTAACATAAACACACACACACATACAAACACACATGTGCTTACATGTTTAAGGATTCTAGTTAAGGAGAGATGTTGCAGATTCTATCCTTGATTTTCAGTTTGCTCACAAAGAGGCAGTGAATTTTTGCAATTAATAATACAGAGAAATTTCTTTACAATCAGTGTTAAATATACTGTGGAGTGGAGGCAAAGGAAGTACTTATGCATTTTATTTTGCGCTTTATTTGCATAAACATTCAGTTGTAACTAAAGAATTGGGATGGTGACATATCATTAATATAAGTTAATGTTGTTCCTACCTCTTTGCTACTCTTCTGAGAACTAATAGTCATCGATGTAAAAAAGAAAGGTAGCCTGCCTTTTTTTCTTTTTCTCTAATTGAAATTTAATTTTCCCCATTTGGAAGTGTGTTTGGAAGATCTAAATTTAGGACTTTCAGATAAGTAGTAGTAGTTAGGTACATTAGTCATTTTGCAGATCTAGCACTCTGTCAGCAGCCATACTGAATTTTGATGAATCGTAATAATTTGTTCATTATTTTTCCAAAATTAATTTTTACATTTGGTACAATTCAGCAGAAATCTTAGCCTTTCTGAAGTCAGCAGCAAAACTACATTGGTATTATGAGTGCAAGGTTTTTGTTTGAGATTTAACACTGCAAATTCAGGCTTAGTCCTGAGGTATACTACGTAGCTCCTGTTTGTGCAAACTTAATTGTTCCCTGCAAGTAAGGAAATAAGTCAATATTTGTCTATATAATTTAAACTCATTTTCAAGAAATTACACACTTGTTTGCACAGAAGCATTTGGGTACTTGTATGTTTAGTAAGGACCACATGAGTTATTTATAAAGTAAAACATGAAATCAATTCATTTAAGAAAATACTTCAGTTTTTAACATTGTTTGTTGCACATCTGTCAAAATGCATATGAAGTTTGTCCATTTTAAACTGAGAATACATCTTAGTCCTGGACTGTATTTCCAGGCTTTCCTCTGAGAAAAACGTAGTATGATCATACTTACTCATGAGTTAGCGGAGCAAACTGTACAGCACTCTGAAGGACACCTTTGATTTATTTCAGTGTTCTTGGGATCACCGAGGAAGGGTCTAAAGGAAGGATAATAGGAAGGGGGAAGAGAACCGTGACAATGCATAATTTCTTTGGCAGTTAACTTTGGCAGTTACAGCAACAGAGAATAATGTAGGTTTTTAAACATTAGAAGGAAAAGTCTAAAGCAAAGGTGGATTTCTTCCTTTCTTGTTTAATTATTTCCTTTTCCTGTGAGCCGTTAGGAGTACCAAATTTAGCACAGGTTTGTCAGCTTTGGAAAAAGTGAACAATCCCTTCTTATCTTAAATTCATGTCTGAGTACTTTATTTTAATGGCTTAATTTGTGTTTTTTATTTAAAAGAAAAGATTGTGTTGCTTTGGTAGGGAATGCAGTCTTTTGTCTTCTCTTTGCTCTTTTCTTTTTTCTTTTCATAGGCCATGGGAATAGAATTCACGCTTATGTTTAGATCACTCATTCACTTAATTCTTTTTTTAGTGTTTTAAAGGTCTTTTATGTTTTCCCATCCACTGTTTTTTTTGGCAGAGATTTTTTTACCAAAAAAAAAGCTAAAAGAAAAAGTTCCACAGTAGCGAGCTGCCATATAAAACAGGATCCCACACCTATAACCTAAATGGCCAAAAATTATAAATACCTACCATTAGAAAGCTTATTTTTAAAGAAATTTGGAAAAGAAATATTTTATTACAATTTAAAATCTTAACATGCAATGTGTTTTAAAATGGGATTTCACTTACAGGAAAAATAGTAATGAGACAAATGTAATCCATATAATATTAGTTGGATCTGGCAGCTTTACACTGGTTGAAAAAGTGTCAGTTTGGTTTTCTAGTATATTTTGAGTCAGGCTATAATTTTTATATGTGGAATTAGTTCCAGCATTTACTATTTAATTAATCATTTGGTTTCAAACATTCTTCCTTGCCCTGAGAAATGTAGATACTATTCCATTTTGGCAGTGTTAGGTTTACAGCTGGACTTGATGATCTTAAAGATCTTTTCCAATCTAAATGATTCTATTTTTCTATATTAAATTAAGGAATGAAAAATTGTTCTTAAAAAACCTGATTTTTTTTGGTGAGGTTATCAGATATGTTAGGTGGATTTAGTTTATGTAGAAGCAATTACAAAATGTTGGTTTGTGCCATCACTTGTTTCCTGATGAGAAATGAGTTGTGTCTGGCTATAAGACAGTTTTCATACCATATATCCACTTCCTTATGGATACATGTTGCGCTTACATTTGAGGAGGCATACCTGCATTTTTCTGATATTTTTAATTTGTTCATTTTTGTAGTAGGAAACCAGTGACAGGAAGATTCCAGATTGCCAATAATATTGTCACTTAATAATCTGGTATAATTTAATATCATATATTTAGAATTGTGGTACTGCAAAGCTATCAATAAATTATCTGTTGAAAATAAGGAGTAACAAAAACTTTGTAGTTAATACATCTTTTCATACGGTACTCCTGAAATGAGTTTTCATCAGCATGGAAAGAATCAGAAATCCAATTTAATATTGTTTGCTTGGAAGATTTGTTTCTCTAAGAGCTGATTTAAAAAGCATTTAAAATACACTATTAATTTTTTAAAAAAGGCAGAGTTTCTTTTGTGAGGGAAGTCTAAGGAAAACATGCTTGAATAAAGTAATGGTCTTTGACGTTTGCTATAATAAAGAAGTATTTTCTTGTTTTGAAAGAAAATTCTAAGTATGTTAAAATGTTACACTACGCAGAGAACTGTGTTTTGCTATATTTTTAAAGATAGACTTGTGATTAGTCTTTTCAAATATGCTGATTACAGTGTTGAGTAATTCAGGTTCACTTATGCCTAAGGTTATGAAGTCGCATTTATCAGAGTGCTGCAGTTTTGGAGATTTGGATGGTTTTAAAATGTCAGTTATTCTGTTAATTCCACTTATTGAGTCCACTGAAGTAAGTTTAAAGTTGCAATAACAGTTGATGACTAGCATGATCACAAGTCTATCAATTTATGCTGCAAATTATATTTTTACAGATACACACAAAAAGAAAAACCCTAGAAAACTTAGCCCCAATTCTATATTCATATAGAACTGGCAAGTTTGCAACTCAAATACTCAAAAGTTAAGAAATCCAAAAAAAGGGCGCTTGTGCAACATCAGTTGAACCCCTTTGTTGTTACACTTTTTGTATGAACAGTATACCTAATGAAGGCAAAACCACAGTCTAAACCAATTTCTGCTTAGCTATATAAAATCAGAAAATAGCTGCTGATCAATACAAATTATTTATATATTTTAGATGGCAGATCACAAAGAAGTAATGAGGGGCATTGAGCAGCATCCTGGAGTCCAATATTCTGTTCTCACACCTAATCTTCAAGGTTTTCATTCTGCTGTAAGTGCCTTCATAGAAGATGTCCACAATTACCTCTTTCATGTTTCAGACACTTGTGGTTCAGTACCATATAGTAGCTATTTAATGTCATATAACCTGTCTTGTTAGAACTAAGTGATAGTTTTTTTTAATTAAAAACTCTTAGTTTTCATTGTGAAAAATAAGCAAATTCACCGAGTGATGTTAAGCTCTATATGTTCGTATTTTAATGAAAGTATTGATCAAACAGTCTTTGCAAGTTCCTGTAAATGATGCTTGTGTATAAAGACAGTTCCTTCTCCTTCTTTGACTTGTTGGCCTTAGAAAAGTTTCTGAAGAGTCTCTTCTTATTGGAAAGTAGTGAAGAAGAATGAGGAAAGAGTCATTTAGATGAAAATGCTTTATAGGAATGTATTAGATTTCTTAAGTTCTGCATTTCAATTTGGTAGAGTTTGAAAGTTTAAATTGTTTCAGTTCATAAAACATAAATGTTCAAAATTATAGACTTGAAGTGTTTGGAATTGTGAAAATGGAGCAGTTCAGTCTTCTTAAAACATACACATTGATAGTCAAACCTTTACACTTTTTTGTTTTCTGAAAATTTTTCATGCTTCTATGCTTTTGATATAGGACAAGCCATATTTGGAAAGCATACTGCTTGATGGACATTTGCAGTGTAGTCTACCGTTCAGTTTCTATACTGCATATGAAATCTCTGTTAAAACAGAATCCTGTACATAGGCAAGTTAACTATCAATAGTCAGATTTATAGTGCCACAACTTTGTCTGCAAAGGTAGCTTGTATGAGTTGAATTAAATATGCTATATCTCTATAATGTATTTAGTGATTTAACGAAAGGAAAACAATGCAAAAGTAGTTGTAGGTGGTCGCTGAATTCTTTCTTCCTGCTATTTTTTTTTCTTCTCTCTGTGTTTGAAAGGATATTTGTTCCTGTAAATGCTGCTGAAACTTGGACATTATCCTGCAAAAACAGAGAGGAAACAGAAAAGCTCCATTCTTTTTCATAGAATGACAGTATTAGCCTCACTGGAGAGTGAGAATTAATTAAGTAGCTATTCTCCTAAGCTTAAATGTTTTCTTCTGTCATTCTAGTTTGCCTCATGTTAGTTGATTTACTGAGTCCTGAGGTGCTGAGTACAAACTCAGGCTAATTGCCCCCTCAGTGAAGTCACCACATTTACACATTTTCTAGACTGGTATTTGCTCTGAGACTTTTTCTCAGCAGACTCTCACATACACATTTTCCATATTATCCATATCAACTATGACACCAAGACGAATGGAGCCGTTGATCCTAGAGTTGACTCTAACAAGGAAATCCCTGTCAGTTATTGTTGCTCCTCTAGGCACATGCAGGCACAGAGCTTTCCTAAGCATGAGAATGACTTCCTGGCATTCATGAGGAACGGGCTTTGTACGGAGGATGGGTATTTCAGAGTTGTTATACGATCTTTTCCTTTTCTGAAAAATGAATATAAGTATCAGTCATTGTTATTTTCATAGTTGGTTCATGTGATTTCCTACAGCTTAATACCTTTATCATTTATCACTTTAAAAATATGTTTACCTAATTACTAAGAAGAGGAAGGAAATATGCCATGGTGAATGAACTCAAAATTTGATTCAATCTGTTTGTATGCAATAGATTTTAAAAAAAAAAGATACAAGACTTTTATTTTAGATATGGATAATACACTTATAATGTACTTTAAAATTCTAGAATGTCAGAGAGAATTAAATGCTTAATCTAATCTTTTAATATATCGAAATGTATTTTTCAGATTGCAGCAGGGGCTACAGAAGTCTCAGTATTTGGTGCAGCATCTGAATCTTTTAGCAAAATGAATATTAATTGTTCAATTGAAGAAAGCATAGAAAAATTTGAAGAAGTTGCTAAATCTGCAAGAAATATGAATATTCCAGTGCGTGGGTAAATATAAAGATTCTTAAGCAATACAAAGTTATTGGGGTCGCTGTTACAGGGGGTCTTTTTGTACCAGTAGAAAGGTATACTACCCAATTTTTACTTTTTAGATGAATTGAAATAATAGTCTTTATTGTGATTTTTTTTTTTTTTGAAGATTGAATATATTTAGTAATTTGCTCTGTGTTGTGTAACTCCTAATGGTGACTAGTTTTCTCTGGAAATTAAAAAAAACCCAAACAACTGTGTGTATAAACAACACACCTATTTTATTATACAAATTTATTTTTATCATCAGAGGTGACAGAATAAAATTTATTTTGTGCTGCTGAGAACTCATAACACTGCTGCCTGCACCTTAAAAAATACCCTGCATACTTTTATTTTATTATACTATTGATAATATATCACTTCGTACACTGTCGAATCAAGGTATAAAAGTGATAGAATAAATTTACTCTGAAGAAAAAAAATATTCTTGATATAAGTTATTCTGAAAACTCCAGGTGTTGAAGTGTTTTGAATCTCTAGTGCATGAAGCTCTGAAATTGTCCAGTATTTATCTTTCTCTAGATTACGTTCTTTTAAAGTTGAAATGATCCTGAATGATACTTGCCCTTGAACAGTCTTTCATTTCCATTTTCTTTTGCATTACACAGAGCTACTCATCTAAGATTATTTGTGAAGGTCCTTGTGAATGCAAAAAGGCTTACATAGGTGCAAGGAGAAACTCAACAGTGAGATTCCTTGAGGATTACTAGTAATGCATACTACATCAAGCTCAAAAAATACCTGGACTTGAAAATAGATAGAGACTAAGAGACCTCAGAGATTAAGTGCTTGAAAGCGTGTCTAGGAATAAACACCGGGATCTCTCTTTCCTCCAGAAATAGTGATGAGGTAATGCTACTGCTCACTTTTTGCACAATACTGTGGTAGTTTGAGCATTTGCCTTGAGAAAGAGAGATCTGACTTCTAGTTAAACCTCAGCCTCAGAGGATCACAGAATAACAGTATGGTTTAGGTTGAGAGGGACCTTCTGGAGATCATCTTGTCCAACCCAAGGATTTTAACACACTTCCAACCAAGGATAGCTCATAAATGCTTGGATCCTTTTTCCCTAGCGTGGTTATATGTTTCAGATGGAAAATCACTGAATAGAGAAGTAAGGACTTTCATTGTATTAAGAAACAAGAACTTGTACCAGAGTTTAAGTACTCCACCTAGCTGCTAATCTGTCAGATAGAGTCAGGGTTTGCCTTCTGGAGCAACTTCTCTTATAAGAGGTCTGTTGTTTAAAAGGTCTCTGCCACCACTGTTTGCCACATTTTTCTGAAACTAAATTCTGACCTGAGAGTATAACTAGCAGTTTGAGTTCTCCAGGAGGATTAAGCTCAGGGATGCCTGAATTTTAGGTCCCAAATAGACGTGGATAAGGGAATAGGAGTCAATTCAGAAAAGACAGCATATGCATAGCAACAAACCTTAGGCACTGGTGAACATTTTTACACTAAACTTTTGTTTTCTGGTTTTCTCAGATGTCTAGGCATGTCAGGCAATATTTTCTGTTTCATATTCCTGTATCTCACTAACAAAATTCAACCAAATGGCACAACAGAGGCAACCAACCGTCAAGGGAATCCTCAAAACGTATGCATTGTATATGTTTGTGGAGAGCTATGGGTGTCAACAAATGGACTTTGCAACTGGTCCAGAAGATGTAAACTGCAGGTGATGAAGAAGCCCCTGTGACATACTCTAGATTGATGTTGGAGGTTAAAATGGTAACTTATCTTCTGTGCGCTAGTTTTCACATGTTTAAGAAAGTGGCAACCTGCTGCTTTTTTTTCCCACCGATTATATATCTATGGCATTTGTAATACGCCAGTAGCAGTTATTCTGGCACTGATACCTGATGTGATAGAAATGACTGTTCCCATGACAGGATTCTACAATATTCCCATATGTTTATTGTCTACTATCTGATGAACTGTGTGGCAGGCTTTTTTCCTGCACATAGCACAAAAAAATGAGAAAGCAGGAAGGCATGTACAGAGAGGAAGAAGTAGGAGGTGGAAAATGGTCAAACACAAGCAGAGCACAAAAAAAAATAAAATATTATAATAATTAAGAATAGAAGGAAGGAAAACAAAGCAAGGAGATACAAAGAGAGGAATATCAAGAACCAGGTAATGAAGCAAACAGAAAAAACAGCAGTACAGAGATGAAGAGAAATGAGGTAATTGAACTCAGAGAAAATACAATCGGATTATGTTTTAAAAGTGCTCACTTTGGGCATCCAGTACAATGATCTGTGATTTAATTTCAGTATACAAACCTAGGCTAACTTCACACAGTGCATGCAGGACAATTTTATTGAGTCTGTCGTGCCAGGTGCAGTATGTTACAGAATGCTTTAGCAGTGGACTCCTTAATATTAGATATGCAACAAAGTGAACAGATTCTAAGTCGTGAATGAAAATGATGTAAGTTCATTCCAGCTATAGCTTTCTTCCTTAGTCTTATAGGTCTAAGAAAAGTGAATCATTCAGAAGTAGGAAGCCATTGACAGATTCATTCAATTTGTGGGATTATAACCAAGTAAAGAATCCAGGTAGAGAGGATAAGTATAGTCAAGAGAAACTACATTTATGTTTATGTTACAGCTATCTTCATCACAGCGTATTAGTGTGGGAACTAATTTATCCAGTGAAAATTAGAGGTTGAGGCATCAGGAGATAAGATGCTGGACTAACGTTACCCTTCAACAAATAAAATATTTTAGGAGAAGGCTGTCTGTTGTTTGTCCTGGGGGATCTAATATAACTCAAGTTATATTAGTACCTATTATAAAATACCTAATCTGCTAAAAATCTGCTAAGAAACTAAATTGCAGAATATGGAACTTACTTCATAACGAACCTAACTGAGGTTATAATTCTGAGTGTCTAAAACATCCATTGAATATAGATTTTAGTACATGAAAGTACTGAAAAGAAAGTTTTGAGCTTGCTAAAAAGTTAACAGTTAGAAGAGATCTGGTTAACACAATCCGTTTGGGCTTTGGGTGCACTTTTAAAAAATCTCTCCTGGGGAGATTTTGAGGAGGCAAAATAATAATTAATGAGAAATAAAATGTTGCTATGGATCAGAGTCTAGACAAGTATGTTTTCAAGAGAATAATTACCAAGTATTGTGATACATTGAGTCTTGTTGCTGCATGTGCATACTCATTCAGATGCACTGCTTGTGGGTTGCAGTTGCAAGAATCTGTAAGCATTGAGATGGAATGATTGCTCAGAAATAATACCAAAAAAAGGATTGTTTAGTGTCCATCTGCCTCAGCACTTTCTATTAAGCTCTACTGTACTATCTTTTGTTGAGTAGAATTCTGAAGACCAGAAAAATAATAGCAGGAACATGAACATAGAAATGCAGAATTCAGAAGGACTTTTTTAAATGGTAGATCTCTTAGCAGTTGAACAAAGCTCTAGAATGTGGACTTAAAACTTTTAATTAGTTAAAAAATGAAAAAATACCCATAAAGAAGAAGCATCAGTTTTGAATGCCAAGTCCAGGAAGTAAATCAATCTGTTTACAACATTCAGCTGCTTGTGAGGGGAAAGATTATGGAAGCAAGCCCTCATTTCCAGTGTAATTCTGGAAGACTAAATCATAATTTTCTCTGATACTAATGTCCAACAATAGTAGTAGTAGAATTCCCTGTAGCAGACCGGGGATTCATTAGGACTTGAGTGGAAGCAGTTCATTAGTTCCCAAATATTGCAGTACATTTAGAAGACTTGTGGAGTTTTGCATCGTATTTAATGATACAGGGCTTCTCTTCCTTGATCAAAAAAGGTGTGGAAAAGATAATCAGAAAGTAAAATTTAAACAGAGATTTCATAGAAATATTCAGTGCAATCAAGGTGACTTTTTCCTGGAGATAAAACAATAAAAAAAGAATTAGCTATCAAAGCCTGCAATTTATGATCCCATATTTAGCTGCTACTAAATAAGCTGCTTTTAGTAACAGATAAAATAAATGGCATTTTTGTATCCCAATTCCATGCAAAATTCTCTAAATGCTGACAGTCCAGGTTTTGTGGCATGTTGTTCTTTATGCCATGTTCTTTATATCCTGATCTGTAAGTATCATGTGGACAAGCCAAGCAGGGGCAGAAACTGACAGTTTCAGAAATTGAAATTTGGGAGTTTCTGTTGAATGACCTCAAACCCAGCATTTTGGAAATAAAAGGACGAGATGTTACATAATTCATCAATTGACATTCAATATTTAGAATTGGTGCTCGTGGTTTGACTGGTTGTTACTTAATTTCAAGGAGAAGATTAGTTTCAGGCTTTATTTCGTTGTATGGCTTCTATTTACTGAAAATAATTATAAGTTGTTTACAGCTATTGTTGTAACATGAGGTAAATCTGAGCATGACCACACAACAAGTCTGAACTTGTCATCCTAAATTTGCTTGTAGTTACTAGAGGGAAACAGGCTGCCTTTGGGCTATGATTTATCGTATGTGCTTTTTAAAGTACCTGCCTTAGGATAAGATGAACCACTCTTCGGATGACTGATCCTTTTGGCTGCAAAGGAGCTTGGGTCCTATCCTATGTTAGTCGTCCTATAGATGGCCTATCTAAGGCATAGACTGTAGATTATTTTCTTTGATATCAGAAGTTAGAACAGATGAATCCCATCCTACCTGTGCATAGACTAAGGATTAGCACCTTGTAATTTATGTAAATTACAATAGATATAAGAAAAGTATTAATAGGCTTTGTGCTGCAAGGTAACACAAAATGAAACTGTGGTGGACAAAAATTTGTACTCTATGCACTGAGAATCAACGTTTTGTTTTTAATCACCCATGGCTACTTTTAAAGAACCATGGCCAAAACCCGCAGCCTTTGCTCATGCAAGCTTCCAAGACTACACATTTTGGCTTCTAATATAAATTTTGTAGGCTAAATATTTTGCTTGAACTACT